GCTGGGGTTTTGAAGAGGAGGTCTAGACATGATCTAGAAGCATGAAGGGACAGGGCTCCCAGGCACCTGGGGTATGAAAGCAAGAGCAGCCTCCCTAGGCAGGTTTCTATCAGGACCAAAGGGAAAGGGCCCTTCAGAGAAGACAGCCCCGTTCCGGAAAGCACGTGAAAGGCTTTGGGAGGTCTGGAAAGGAGATGGTGAACAGGAATGTATTGCTTCCTCTGGGCAGTGCGCTGGGCACACACATGTGCCTGGGAGCCAGCAATCTGTACCTTGGCTGTTGACGGACAGTTGAGGCACAGTGGCGGCAGCTGGCTAAGCACCTTCGGCCTGCTTCGCTCTGGACTTCTGAGGGCCGGCACTGTGGCTTTTCCGGCCGGCTCCCCTGGGCACCAGGGCTAGGGGCTCACAGGGCTTATGTAGGTGATGCCTGCTTTGGGAACATAAACCCCCCCTTCCTCGTCCCCATTTGCTCTGTGCATGGCCCTTTCTCTCGAATCATCCATGTACCCCTGGAGCAGCCTGGGGCATCTGTGAAGGGGTGTGTGAGTGGGCTGAGGTTTCACCGGCCCCGCAGTCACCCGCTCTCCCCTCTCCTCGGCCCATGCCCTCCTAGACACCATCCGGAAGATGAAGAATGATTTCCGGAAGATGGAGGATGAAATGGACCGGCTGGCCACCAACATGGCAGTGATCACGGACTTCAGCGCGCGCATTAGCGCCACGCTCCAGGACCGCCATGAGCGCATCACCAAGCTGGCAGGTGGGTGCTGCCAGGCCGGGCCTGCAATGGGCCTCCCCTGGGGCTCTGGGGCTCACGCTACCCTTTGTCCCCCAGGGGTCCATGCGCTGCTGCGGAAGCTGCAGTTCCTCTTCGAGCTGCCCTCACGCCTCACCAAGTGCGTGGAACTGGGCGCCTACGGGCAGGCAGTGCGCTATCAGGGCCGTGCTCAGGCCGTATTGCAGCAGTACCAGCACCTGCCCTCATTCCGCGCCATCCAGGACGACTGCCAGGTCATCACGGCCCGTCTGGCCCAGCAGCTGCGGCAGCGCTTCAGGTGTGGCCCGTCTTCCCTGACTCCAGCGCTCCCGCCGGCCCGAGCCCACCTATACCCTTCCCCTGGGCCCTCCTGGAGCTGTCGCCCTGCTCCTGCCCCATCCACCAGCAGCCCCGGCCCTGCCCTTCACTGGCCCTGCCCTTCACTACCGTCTCCTTCGTGTAGGGAGGGCGGCTCAGGTGCCCCAGAGCAGGCAGAGTGCGTGGAGCTGCTGCTGGCTCTGGGCGAACCTGCGGAGGAGCTGTGTGAGGAGTTCCTGGCGCACGCCCGCGGCCGGCTGGAGGAGGAGCTGAGAAGCCTGGAAGCCGAGCTGGGGCCCTCCCCTCCGGCTCCCGATGTGTTAGAGTTCACCGATCACGGAGGCAGTGGCTTCGTGGGTGGCCTCTGCCAGGTGGCAGCGGCCTACCAGGAGCTGTTTGCGGCCCAGGGCCCAGCAGGAGCCGAGAAGCTGGCAGCCTTCACCCGGGAGCTAGGCAGCCGCTATTTTGCGCTGGTGGAGCGGCGGCTGGCGCAGGAGCAGGGTGGTGGTGACAACTCACTGCTGGTGCGAGCGCTGGATCGCTTTCACCGGCGCCTGCGGGCTCCTGGGGCCCTGCTGGCCGCTGCCGGGCTCACAGACGCTGCCACAGAGATCGTGGAAAGAGTGGCCCGCGAGCGCCTGGGTCACCACCTGCAGGGTCTCCGGGCGGCCTTCCTGGGCTGCCTGACTGACGTCCGCCAGGCACTGGCAGCACCTCGCGTGGCTGGGAAGGAGGGCCCTGGCCTGGCTGAGCTGCTGGCCAATGTGGCCAGCTCCATCCTGAGCCACATTAAGGCCTCTCTGGCAGCAGTGCACCTTTTCACCGCCAAAGAGGTGTCCTTCTCCAACAAGCCCTACTTCCGGGTATGGCCTCCTCTCGGGTGTTGCTTGTTCGATCTGCTGGTTGACCCTTCAATACCCTTTATAACCGTGCTTGGGGAACTGGGGACAAGTTACCAGGGTAGATGCAGTCCCTGTCCCAGGCACTCTGGGTTTGGTTTCAGGTTCTTGTGCACAGTCTGGGGGGTAGGGAAGGCATGGGCAGTGTGCAGCTGGGCTAAGAATAGGGGTGCAGTGGGGTACCTAGTGTTGGCTCTCCCTGCCCCCACTCAGGGAAGCTGCTCCAGGGCACTTAGAATGCAGGATGATGTTGTCCCTTGCAGATGGGGCTGGGGCACTTAGAGCCCCAGCAGAGGGTCATTAACAGCCCTACCTGGAAGAGGGGACCTGCGTGGATCTGGGCACCTTCTCCTTGCAGGGTGAGTTCTGCAGTCAGGGTGTCCGTGAGGGCCTCATCGTGGGCTTCATCCGCTCTATGTGTCAGACGGCTCAGAGCTTCTGTGACAGCCCTGGGGAGAAGGGGGGTGCCACACCACCTGCCCTGCTCCTGCTGCTCTCCCGCCTCTGCCTGGACTATGAGACAGCCACCATCTCCTACATCCTCACTCTCACTGATGAACAGTTTCTGGTGCAGGTGAAGCACTAGCTCCTCCTACAGGGATGGTGGTTCTGGGAATGCAAGTGGCTAGACAATGCCCTCATGGCCAGACCCCAGACCAACTGCTGTGTGCACCCCAGCCTCCATGTTGCCTAGTCTGCCTAGCTCCTGGTTGGCAGTGGCCCCTGAAATGTCCCCCTTACCCACTCCCTCTGTCCTCTGCCTCCTTGGCTCAGGATCAGTCCCCGGTGACGCCCGTGAGCACACTGTGTGCAGAGGCCAGGGAGACCGCACGGCGGCTGCTGACCCACTACGTGAAGGTGCAGGGCCTGGTCATATCGCAGATGCTGCGCAAGAGCGTGGAGACGCGGGACTGGCTCAGCACCCTGGAGCCCCGGAACGTGCGTGCCGTCATGAAGCGGGTAGTGGAGGATACCACCGCCATCGACGTGCAGGTGCTGCCCAAGCTGGCCCAGGGAGCCCTGATGCAGGCTGGGGGTGCTGTCCCTTCATGGGGGGCTGGGGCAGCAGAGGATCACTAGTGGCCCCTGCCTGGAGGAGAGGACCTGTTGTGTATCTGGGCCTCTCCTCATGGGGTGAGTTCTGTAGCCAAGGCATCTGTGAGGGAACCCCGGGGAAACAAATCTCCAAGATGAAGACGAAAGGGGCTGGGCAGTGCCTGTGTCCACTGTCATGTTCCTTCTCAGCACTGGGTGATGGCATCTTCACCCCCGTTTTGCCTGTGGGTAAGCAGAGGCTCAGGATTACCCAGGAAGTCAGGGCAGGGTTGGTGCTGAAGATTAGGTATCAGACCAACTCTTCTGTCCTGCCTTTGCCCCACTCCACTGGTTCTATAAATAGCGACCATGTGCTCGGATCTCCATGCAGTACCTTTTTTTTTTTTTAAATCATGTAGTCCTCAACAACAGGTGTTGCAGTACCTCTTTTTACCACCAGGTGGGTCTCCTGTACGAAGAGGGTGTTCGAAAGGCCCAGAGCAGCGACTCCAGCAAGAGGACCTTCTCCGTGTACAGCAGCTCTCGGCAGCAGGGCCGCTACGCCCCCAGCTATACCCCCAGGTCTGGCTGGTCAGGGGAGCCCCAGGGGAAATGGGCAAAAGCGGCTGAAGGTGCAGGGCAGGCCCTGATTCGTTGTCTCCCCCAATCCAGTGCCCCGATGGACACCAACCTCTTGAGCAATATCCAGAAGCTATTCTCTGAACGTATTGATGTGTTCAGCCCTGTGGAGTTCAACAAGGTCCGTGACTCAGACTTCCAGGGAGCCCAGGGAGGGTTGGCTGGAGCAGCCCCGCACCTGCCCAAGGAGCCCCAGGACTCTGACCAACTGGGGGTGACCTTGACCCTCCAGTTTGTCTCTAGGACTGTTTTTAGGCAGTCCAGAGTACCCTGTCCCCAAATTCCATGGCCCCTGCCCCAAACTTGGTGTATGCCCAGCCTGAGTCTCGGTACCGACCTGGGATGACTCTCTGCCCTTGTCCTTGTCCCACAGTAGTCCTGGGTCCTCCCCAGGATTTCCTATTCACCCATGGTCCCTGGACCCCACTCTCCAAGCTCAGGGATGCCTCTGATTGCTGGGCCCTACACCCATGGTCCTGGCCCCCCACTCTCCAAGCTCAGGGATGCCTCTGATTGCTGGGCCCTACACCCATGGTCCCTGCACCCCACTCTCCAAGCTCAGGGATGCCTCTGATTGCTGGGCCCTACACCCATGGTCCCTGGCCCCCCACTCTCCAAGCTCAGGGATGCCTCTGATTGCTGGGCCCTACCTGTCCCCTGCCCTCCAGATGACAGCACTAACATTGTATCCCTCCCCTCTTATCTGGCCCTGGGGACTTTCTGCCTCATCCCAGCTACTGGCACCGTATGTCTCCATGGCCCCTGCTCAGAACTTGGGTGCCCCTCGCCAACACCTGCTGTCCCCAAGCTTCATCCCTGTGTCCCTGCCTGCAGGTGTCGGTGCTGACGGGCATCATCAAGATCAGCCTGAAGACCCTGTTGGAGTGTGTGCGGCTGCGCACCTTTGGGCGCTTCGGGCTGCAGCAGGTGCAAGTGGACTGCCACTTTCTGCAGCTCTACCTGTGGCGTTTTGTGGCTGATGAAGAACTCGTGCACCTGCTCCTAGACGAAGTGGTGGCCTCGGCTGCCCTGCGCTGCCCAGATCCTGTGCCCATGGAACCCAGTGTGGTCGAGGTCATCTGCGAGCGCGGCTAGGAACAGCCGCTGCCATGCACGGGCCTGCCCCGGCGCCCCATGGCCCGGGTGGTCTTTCACCGCTGGCAGGTGTCAGGCCCCGCCTAATAAACCTGTGTGATTGTCTCCTCTCGTTTGCTGGGCGGACCTTTCCGGGGGCGGGGTTTTGGAGCTGAGGCTTCTGAGGCGCCCGCGTCGGTTCCGCCCCCGAGTGCCGATTGGCTGGTGTTCTGGGCCCAGGATGGGCAGGGGGCGGGTCCACCTAAATACTCGGACAGGCGTGGTCCCTGTCTGCACTCAGTGTTCTGGCAGGTGCAGCCGCCGCGGGGCCGGATCCTCGGCGCTGCAGAGCCCGTCTCCTGGGAAATGGGGCGGGCTGTGTTTCCTTGACCGACTATTGTGAGCGCCCCCTCTCCAGCAGAGCGGAGACCATGGACCCCCCTCAGGGCCCCCGGGCTCCACTGGAATTCGGTGGCCCCATGGGTAATGGGGCAGAGAGAGGGAACCTGGGGCAAAGGCTGAGCGAAGGAGAGCTGGAGGGGGTGAACTAAGAGCGGGGGTGGGATCTGAGGATGGAAGGCCTGTGAGTGTCGTGGGCAGAGGGAGCCGGGGGCAGAGGGAGCAGAAGTGTCTGGAGAGCGAGAGCTGAGGAGGGGCCGGTTCTGGGGGCTGCAGAGCACGGATTTATGGGGTCTACTGGGAGCAGAAGGAGGATCTTCGAGGGGGGCAGGGGACCGGGAGGCAGCGGGGAGCCTGGGGGTTGAGGGCTGAGAACGGGATGCGGAGGCGGGCGCTGGGCATGCCTGGGAGACCCCGCAGAGACGTTAGGGCGCCTGGGGGAGCCAGCCGGGGGCTGGGGGCGGACGCTAGACGCGATGGCCCTTCCCGCAGGCGCCGCGGCTCTGATGCTGCTGCTGCCTGCCACTGTGTTCCATCTGCTCCTGGCGGCCCGCTCGGGCCCCGCGCGCCTCCTGGGCCCACCAGCGTCACTGCCAGGGCTGGAGGCGCTGTGGAGCCCACGGGCGCTGCTGCTATGGCTCGCCTGGCTCGGCCTGCAGGCGGCGCTCTATCTACTGCCGGCGCGCAAGGTGCGGGCCCCGCTCGCGGACGCGCGGGGGAGGGAAGCGGAGGGGCTGGGCGAGGGAGAAGACGCCCCGGGCCTTATCAGAGTTCCCTTGGACCCGCAGGTGGCTAAGGGGCTGGAACTGAAGGACAAGAGTCGCCTGCGCTATCCCATTAACGGTGCCTGGGGAACGGGCCCTCGCGCTGGAATTGTGCGGCCGGGGGTGGAGCTCCAGGCCTGGCGGGGAGGTCCACGGAGATTGGCCCCCACCCCAGGCCCGTTTGTGTGCCTCTGTTACCGCCAGGACAGACCCGGGGGCTCTCCCTAATCCCCTCGTCCCCATACCCCACCCTATTTACAGCTACTCTGCACTCAGCAATGGCTGGGGTGATCCTCTTAAGGCCAGGGTGGCAGCCTGATGCTTGGGGCAGGGTCTGTGGCCCCCCTGAGTTTTGGGCTCTGTGTGTGTTTGCGGGGTGGGAATGTGGAGGTGCGCAGCCCCCGGGCTCACTGTGCGCTGTGGTTCAGGCTTCCAGGCCCTGGTGCTGACCGCTCTGTTGGTGGGGCTGGGGATGTCGGCGGGGCTGCCTCTGGGGGCGCTCCCGGAAATGCTCCTGCCCTTGGCGTTTGTCGCCACCCTCACCGCTTTCATCTTCAGCCTCTTTCTCTACCTGAAGGCGCAGGTAGCCCCAGTCTCGGCCCTGGCACCTGGGGGTAACTCAGGTGAGAGGGGTGCTAGGGGGTGGAGATGGAGGCAGATGGGGCGTCTGCCTGTACCTGCACTCTCCAATATTCTCTAGGCAATCCGATTTACGACTTTTTTCTGGGACGGGAGCTCAACCCTCGTATCTGTTCCTTCGACTTCAAATATTTCTGTGAACTGCGGCCTGGCCTCATCGGCTGGGTATGCTGGACTTGACTGAGCTGGCCTCAGGCCGGGGGAGGGTTAGGGTGGGTGAGCAGTGCTTGGGCAAGGCAGGGCCAAAACTGTGCAGATAAGAATCATTAATCATACATAGGTCACAAACATTTGTTAAATCCACCTGTGCCCTAGGCCCTGCTCTAGGTACTGGGAGACAAAAATAGAGGCAAGAAAAACATCTTTGTCAAAGAGAGCCTACATTTTAGTGGAAAGACAGACAAAAATAAGTAAAATATATATAGCATGTGACGGATGACATTATGAGAGCATGCGCAATTCTCAGCAGCAGTCAAGCACAGAATCTACTTTTGGGGAGTGATGGCGTGCTGCTTGATGGTCAAGGCAGTGCAGAACCTGAAATTGATCACTGGGTTTAGCAACCTGCCTGTCACTGGTGGCCTTGATAACATTCCAACTGTGTTCTCTGGTTATAATCACCCATGCCGGACTGTGGCCAAGATTACCCAAAGGGACTCTTGGGCAAGGCCTCTCCTGTCACCCTGGAAATTCTCTTACCTGAAACAAGAGTGCCAAGTGCCCACCTTGGATCTGGGCCCTGGCCTGACCACAGGCACATCTGAGGCCCTTTCTTCATCTGTGAAATGGGATAAAATTAAAGCTTTCTCCTAAGATTACTGGAAGATTAGAAGAGGTAAACTTCATAACAGAACAGAGCTCAGTGTAAAATGCAGGCGCCCAGCTAAGGCTTGCTCCAGCTAGCCAGCACTGAGCATGTACCACGTGCCAGGCACATGCTGGAGTGCTTCGAACACAATGATACCATTGAGTAATGACAGGCCCATGATTATCCCCATTTTTCACACAGGGCTGGGGAAAGTAGGCTGTGGAGAGGGTAAGCAACCTGCCCAAGTGATGATGCTGAGATTCCAAACCAGGTCTGTTTTCGCTCTGGAGCCTGAGCCCCCAACTGCTCCCTGGGTTGCTCCTTGAAAGAGCTCAGGACAGACAAGGCAAGAAGAAGCAGGCTTTGAGCACCTCCCGGTCCACAGTCTCTTTGTCCTGGGTCCAGAGCCTGGATCCACTCAACAAAGGGCTGGAGTGTAACTGACAGCTGAGAAGGGCAGAGGCTGGCCACTGCTTTACCCAGGGCTGCCACCTCTGTGGAGATGATTACCCTGTTCCCTCTCCCCCAGGTCCTCATCAACCTGGCCCTGTTGGTGAAGGAGGCAGAGCTTCGAGGCAGTCCCTCACTGGCCATGTGGCTGGTCAATGGCTTCCAGTTACTCTATGTGGGTGATGCCCTCTGGCACGAGGTGAGGCTGGACTGGACAAGGGAGGGTGTCTAAGGGCCGCATGGGGACTAAGCCAGTGTGTTTGGGTCCTATCTACCCTGCAGGAGGCTGTCCTTACCACCATGGACATCACACATGACGGGTTTGGCTTCATGCTGGCATTTGGGGACATAGCTTGGGTACCCTTCACCTACAGCCTGCAGGCCCAGTTTCTGCTGCACCACCCACAGCCCCTAGGGTTGCCCATGGCCGCTATCATCTGCCTCATCAATGGTCAGTCACGAAGGTCATCAATGGGCAGGCTGGGCCCATCTGTCCCCTCTCCCATTCATTCATGCGCTGTTTACGCAGCACCACCACAGAGGTGCTAACCCCCAGGGTCCTCTCTAAAGCCAGGGCGGGGTCCTGGGTGTCCAGGCAGAGTCTGGGCTACAGACAGGTTGGGAAGATGGTCAGGGAAGGCAGGAGGCTGCAACCCTTGACCCTGACCACCGGCTCACACTCTCTCACCAGCTATTGGTTACTACATCTTCCGTGGGGCGAATTCCCAGAAAAACACTTTCCGAAAGAATCCTTCTGACCCCAGAGTGGCTGGTGAGCTGGGTCTCTAGGGTGCCATGGGTGAGGTGGGGCAGCTGGACTTCCTGGAAACTCCCTACCCTGCTGTCTTTCCCCAGGGCTTGAGACCATCTCTACAGCCACAGGGCGGCAGCTGCTAGTGTCTGGGTGGTGGGGTATGGTCCGCCATCCCAACTACCTTGGAGACCTCATCATGGCTCTGGCTTGGTCCTTACCCTGCGGTGAGTGGCCCACAAGGATATGGGCAGGGACATGTGAGGGAAGAGGCGGCTCAGTGACCACAGGATGCCTAGTTTGAGTATGCATTGGTGAGAGAGAGCTGGGGATGGACCCAGTGTGTGGCTGGGGCACACATCTGTGCCAACCTAGTACCATCTGCCTTGCTGCAGACCCCAGAGCTTTTGCTGCTGAGCCCTGATGCCCACATAAGCCATCAGGGGTGGAAACGTTTGCGAACCGATGTGTGGGGGTAGGGGGCTGGCAGGGTGGTCACAGAGCCTCTCTCCCTGCAGGGGTGTCACACCTGCTGCCCTACTTCTACCTCCTTTACTTCACCGCGCTGCTGGTGCACCGTGAGGCCCGGGATGAGCAGCAGTGCCTGCAGAAGTACGGCCTGGCCTGGCAGGAATACTGCCGGCGTGTGCCTTACCGCATCATGCCCTACATCTACTGAAGCGGCTCCACCACCCCAGGTCGGGGCATGTGCCCACTCATCCAGCACACCCAGGACCAGGAGACAGGGCACACTCAGGACTCAGGGGCTTGCACCCCACCCAGCCCTGAGGATGAACAGCCTCAGAGAAGAGGCAGTTTAGAGCGAGGAAAAAATGAAACAAGTGACCAAAATCAGAGATGGTCTTCCTCCTTTGGATAAACACTGGGAACCCTTGGTGCACTTCTCTGCCATTCTGGGGCTAGGGTATTTAGGACTGGCTGGGTCAGCACTGATCAGGGAGAAACTGAGCAATGAATGGCTGGTGGGCCCAGTGGGTCAACAGCTGTCCCTCGGAAACAGGCACTGTCAACAGGGCTGACCAGTCACAGCTTTATTATTGACAAGGGTCCTCAGTTCAGCCAGGAAGCTCCTCGATGAGAGTCCTTGGGGCAGGTGGCACGGAGCCGCCCCAAAGTCGCTCCAGCTCCCCAGTGAGGGCAGCCACCTCCTGCGCTGCCACAGCATGGGCTCGATGAACCCTGGCGCAGCCTAGAGCCAGCGGTGTGAGGGCAGCCTCATTTTCGTTGGTCCAGGCCAGGAGGAACTGGCACTTCTTCCGGGCCCGGTAAAGGTGATCTCGCTCTTCTCTAGCCACAGCCTGTTTCCGGGCACGGCCCAGGGTCTGTGCCAGGTGTCCCAGTGCTGCCAGCGTGTAGCCTTTCTGGTTGGCCAGGCCCTCGCCCAGCAGGATGCGAGCAACTTCGTGCATAGCCCCTCGAGTGCCCAGAGGCCCAGGCGGGTGCTCGCCAGCTTCCAGCACGTGGGCTGCGGCCTGCAGGGCTTCTTCCGCAGAAGTGAAGACTTGCTGGGCACCCAGTGCTCCGGAAACGCCGAGCAGTGTGGCACAGAAGTCAGAGAGCAGTGCGTCGTCACCACCGTGATACAGGGCAAGAGTGTGCGCGTAGGCGAACAGCACGTTGGGCAGCTGGAATCGCACGAGCGGCGAGACTGGGCCGCGGCTCAAGCTGACGAGCGCGGGGATGCGGGTGGGCACGGCGGGCATAAAGGTCCCTGGAGCATGTCCAAGAACCCGCCCGGCGGCCACAGGCTCCGCGGCGGAGGCAACTTTCACGGATTCCTGCGGGGTCCTCGCAGGGGCGGGCTCCAACCCCGCGGCATCACTGCCCGGGGCATCATCCAGCTCCTCTAGGAGCGACGTTACGGATTCGCGGTTCCACCACCAGGGCCGCCATGGAGGCAGCAGCCGCCCGGCCTCACCGCGGCTCAGCAGCCGCTCGAAGGCTGCTTTTTCGGCCGGTGCCAGCCGCTCCCAGAGTCCCGAGAGGCCGTCGAGCGCCGCGCCGGGGCTGAGGCCTGCTTCCCCAGGCTCGTCCTCGGTTTCGCGTTGCTGACGCAGCCGGCGTAGGGCGCTCGCTAGGCGGCTGGGCGAGGCGCTGCGGCCGCGGAGCTCTCCCAGCACCTGGTCACGGTAGAAGTTTTCTGCGCAGGTGCCATGCGCCCGATAGCAGCGCAGCGAGCAGTACGGCGCATTACAGCGAGGGCAGGTGTAACGCGCGGGTTGGCCCTCCCCCGCCGGGCAGAAGTCACAGGGCCCGGCCGGCTCCATGGAAACTGGCGCCACGACCTACCTGCGAATGCAAGTCGGCGTTAGTTCGAAACTTCCGAGACTTCTCTGATTACTTCCGGTCCACCGCGGGGCCGACGGCGCGCGTTGGTCTCGCAAAGCTCCCAAGGATTCTCGGCAATTTCCGCCCACGCCCGGAAGCCGAACCCCACCCCTTTCCCAAGCAGGGCGGGGGCGGGCCCAGAAAACGGGAGTCAGGTACGAGCCCCGCCCTGTACGATGACGCAAGGAGCGGAAAAATGGGTCTGACCAGCGGTCCGCCCGTGCCACGTCGCCCCCTAGTGGTTACACCAAAACGTAGTCCGATAGTCTAAACAGAAAACCCTCTTTTTAGCACTATAATGCGCTGTGGCAGAAATCCGTATTTGCGAAGCATCTACCGTGGGCCACTAATTGTGTCAAGCCTACGGGAGGTGATGCAACCCTGCGCTGGAGAAGCAGCCATTCCACTAGGGGACACAGATAAAAGGGCAGTTGGAGCCGGGCGCTCATGCCTGTAATCCCAGCACTTTGGGAGGCCAAGGCAGGCATATCACCAGAGGTCAGGAGTTTGAGACCAGCCCGACTAACATGAAGAAACCCCGTCTTTACTAAAAGTACAAATATTAGCTGGGCGTGGGGACGGGTGCCTGTAGTCTCAGCTACTCAGGAGGCTGAGGTTGCAGTGAGCCAAGATCGTGGCACCGCACTCCAGCCTGGGAGCCTGGGCCAGTGAGAGAAACTCCTCAAAAAAAAAAAAAAAAAGGCATTTGGGTCCGCCTAGCCTACATAGCCTCGGTGTGTTTCCCCTGTTCCGCAGAAAACAGTATTTAAGAAATATCCGGCCGGGCTTGGTGGCTCACGCCTGTAATCCCAGCACTTTGGGAGGCCGAGGAGGGTGGATCACGAGGTCAAGAGATCGAGACCATCCTGGTCAACATGATGAAACCCCGTCTCTACTAAAAATACAAAAAATTAGCTGAGCACGGTGGTGTGGGCCTGTAATCCCAGTTACTCAGGAGGCTGAGGCAGGAGAATTGCCTGAACCCAGAAGGCGGAGGTTGCGGTGAGCCGAGATGGCGCCATTGCACTCCAGCCTGGGTAAGGAGAGCGAAACTCCGTCTCAAAAAAAAAAAAAAAAAAAATCTGAGCTCCTATTTTCCTCCAAACCCACCTTTTCATTAAATACTACTATTCATCCATCTTTATTAAGTGCAGGCCCCATTGTAGGTGCCAAGAACACAACACAGATAAAAGGGAGTGGGGCGCGGGGGGGGAGGGGGGTCCCTGTCCTAATAGAGCTGTCTTGTGGCGGAATGGGGTTGTGACAAACCAAACTGTGAACGTATTCTTTGCATTCCCACTACTACTGGTGGTCTAAGCTTCCTGCCCTTCACCTGGATGACAATACATTGTTTTTCCTTTCTTGCCACCCTCCAGAAAAACCTGCCAGAGAAATCAGATCACATCCATCTCTTACTCAGAACCCTTCTGTGACCCTCCATTGCACTTGAACTCAAATCCAAACTCCTCTCCACGGCTAACAAGGTGTTGCAGGATCTGCTACCCATCCCTAGACATCACCTCTTCCCCAGTTTTCATACAGTCCTTTTGGCTTGAAATATTCCCCTACCTGATCACTTGATTGGTTCATCTCCGGTCTCACACGTGTCATTTAAACAGGCTCTCTAGGCTGGGCACAATGGCTGATGCCCATAATCTCAACACTTTGGGAAGCCAAGGTGAGGGGGTTCAAGACCCAGTTCAAGACCAGCCTAGGCAACATAGCAAAATGCCGTCTCTCCAAAATGTACAAATTAGCCAGGTGTGGTGGTGCACACCTGTAGTCCTCAGCTACTTGGGAGGCTGAGGTGGGAGGATCACCTGAGCCCAGGAGTTGGAGGCTGCAGTAAGCCGTGATTGTGCCACTGCACTCCAGCCTGGATGACAGTGAGACCTTGTCTCAAACAAAAACAAAAAAAGAGGCCCTGCCTGGGATGCTGTTCTGTCTGTCCATATCCTCCCCCGTTCTAAACTGCTAGTAGGCACAAGTCATCTCTTTAACACCACAGAGACAAAAACAGCCAATATTCACAAATTCACTATAAGCCAGATGTTGATCTACATCCTTTAATCCTCGCAGCAGCTACGGAGATGATGGCAGAGATTAAATCAGCAGTTAGTTCAAAGGCCAGCCACCCAGTAAATGGAGCAGGAAAAAAGAAGGTCCAAACTCAGGCAGTCAAAAGTCCACAGCCCAAGGGCTTTACCCTGTGGGATGCTATTTTCTAAGATCTGGCAGGTCCAGAAACTTTGGCTAAATGAGTGAGTAGGGTACGGAAGTGCTGGGAGACTCAGGTGCCAGAAGGGAAGCTTGAATCAGCCCCAGAGGTACTCCACTTTTGGGAACACGGTATCCGATCACAGATGTGACTAGGTTAGCATGGCCGGCCAGCCTGATTTCCCATCACAGATGTGATTAGGTTAGCATGGCCAGCCAGATTCCTGCCCTGGACTCTAAGGCCACAGCTGGTCCCAAGTTCAGGGAATGGCCAGATTCATCTTCTATACAAACCTCATCCCCCACCCCTCTCTTCCATTGCTGCCTCCATAACAAACCTCACAATTATTCCTGCTACCTTCTCTGTTTAGAAGATGAAAAAGAGTAACTTGGGAGGACTGATCAAGTTACTTAGGATGGGGAATAACCCCAATTCTGCATGTGAAGCGCCAGGATCTGTGGCTATTGCTTCTTTACAGGAAACTTTTCTGTGAAGGAATGCTAGTTTACCATTTCGTCCCCCCATTATCAATGGCTTCTGCCTTACTGTTCTAGGGGAAACACCACCAATCCAAGAAGCCACACCTCTCCCTGATGCTTTGCAAATAAAGATGAAACAACTTGACGACTGAACTATGTGGCTTTTTTTATTAGAGAAAGTCAGAATTACAATGGACTTAAGAGTTGGCATTTGGGCCCTTCTTCTTGCCAAAGGTGGGCACAACGTTGACAAAGCGCCGGTTGTACTGCATCCGCCTCTTAGCCCGGCCTGTCTTCTTCTTCTTCTTCTCCTGTTTGGCCACCTGGAAAAGGGAGGGCCCTGGTTCCTGTATACCTTGCCTAGCATCCCTTCCTCAGGCTCATCTCCAGGGAGGAGAAGGCAAACCAGGTAAGAGCCCAGGGTCTTGGATTAGCTCTGACAGGAAAAGACAAAGTTCAAACAACACCACTGCTAACACTCTCTCACTCACCTTAGGAGTCTGACCTCTCACCTTCCCAGCACGGGCCAGGGAACCATGGACTTTACCTGTAGTGGGAAAGGAAGGCAGGTTAAGAGCAAGAAGGTGCCACCCAGCAAAACCCCTCTTTCCTCAATTCAAGCTTTAAAAAGAAGCTGGGCCCAATAGGTAATGAGAACAAAGTTGCAGATATTTGATCTTGAAATCTGAAGTTTCATTTAAGGATTTTCCAGCTCCTAACTTTATAGAGCACTTTGGGGGCTCTGGGCTGACCTAATTTTAGTGAGGAAGCTTATAGCCAGACAAGGATCCTATATGTGATTGAAATGCAACTTCACTCTGACTCAGTCTCTCATGGATGTCTGTGTTCAATTTGAGGCACGTAAACAAGAAGAATCACTGTGAACTGAGGATACAGGGGAGAACTCTGTATTACCATAGGTTTGACGACACTCAGCTACCGGGACCATGCCCCACACCCATAGACGCGTACAGGTAGTACAAAAAATATTCCTCTCACTCACCTCCGAGCATTCGGCCTGCTACTTCCAGCGTGGTCAGGGCCTCCACCCCGCACTGGCCCAGGGTGGCCTCATCCTCCAGGGGCGTGCCTGCCAGGAGTACGACTTGATCTTCCGGGGCAATGCCCTCCAGTGAGGCTACATGAGCCTACAGGGAAAGATAAAGCTCCTAAGAGTCCTCTCGGTCCCCGAAGGTGAAGAGCACAAGAAAATGGAATCCAGGGCGCACCAAACAGCCCTACCTTAATCTGGGCGACCGTCTCCTGGCCGGTCACCTCAAGGGTGTGTAGGTCCTGGGCGCGGACGAAGAGCTGCATGTTGGCGACTGAGTAAAGAAAGACGGCTTGTAAGAGAAGCGAGGAAACGCTCTGGGATAAAGCAGGTTTGGGAATGGAAAGCGGCCCAGAAACGATCGCGACGGGATGGAGGGGGTCGCGGAGACTCACGTGGGGAAGGCCAGGCCTGCCAAGAAGTTCGGATAGGAACTAGAGCAGAACCACAGAGCAGGTCCCGTTCTTCAGTTTACCCCGCTCCCTCTGACCCGGCAGCCAACTTGCTACTAAGCCCTTCGGATCCAGCCAAGGCCCGAGTCTTACCTGAACCGCGGTGTCAGCTGCCGCTACCGTGAAGATGGAGTCGAGAAAGAGGAAGGAGCGAGGGCGCGCACGTACAGATCACCGGTTGCGCGTCGTGTCACTACTGAGCGACCGCGAGGGGCCCTGGTATTTGTACCGCCCAAGGCGGCACTAGCTCCGCCCCTTTACACTGGCGCAGGCGTTTTTCCGTCCCAGGCAGCGCGCGCAGGAGGGGGCGGGACCAGACGGTTGCGCGCGCCGACGGCTAGCGTAGCGGGTCAAGATGGCAGCTACCAAGTTTTGGGCTTTGCTGCAGGGATGGAGAACCGGTGTCCAGCGGAGCTGCGGGCTACGGCTGTTGGTGAGAGCGCTGAGCCTGGAGCTGAGGGCATCGCGTGTCTGAGGCTCACTGTTAATCATTGTAACTCTGAAAACTAAGGCATTCCTACTTGGGGCCTTAGTTTTGCAGTTTTACGATCTGGAGAACTTGTCTCGAGTGTAGATATAGGAACGAGAGGGAAAGTGGCAGAGACTGGAGTGCTCTTTGGGACAGTGTGTGGGTTAGATTCTGGCTGCAGGACATCCCAGGTTAGTCAGGACTGAGAGGAGTTGCACATCGACTCCAGTAGCTACCCAGTTTTTCGAAAGCGAAATCAGAGCAGGCGCTGGCACCAGATCATTGGCGACGCTTTTGGGAGCGCAGAGCTGCTGATATTCAGCTACTTCATCCTACTTCCCTGCTCTTGTAACCCCGAGCTTGTCAGAACTTAGGGGTATCTGTCCAAGAAGGATCTTTATGCTGGAGGATGGGAAGGCAGACTCCGGGCTGTGACGTTAAGTAGAGTTTACAATTATTTGTTAGTGTTGGCCTTTCCTGGCTGTAAAAAAGGTGTAATAAAATACCTAATCAGGCACGTTATTAGAATCAAGTGAAGGCCAGTGCCCGTAAAGCACTTAACACAGTGCCTGGCAATGTCTATATGAGGCCAAAACTTTTCAGATAAGGGGCGGGGTCCTAGCATATGAGTGTGTGTGGGGAATTATGATTGCCTTAAGAATTAAGGCAATCATTAAATTAAACACCACTATATCCAATCACAGATGTGATTATGTTAGCAAGGCCAGCCAGGCAATCATGGAGGTACAAACAAGGCCACCCTGCCAATGTAATAATAATATTTATTTCTAAAACCGAGGCAGAAAGTTAAGCCTTAAGTTTCTGTACGCTTTTCAGAAGCGTACACATACTCTTGAATCCCACAGAAATCCTAAGAGAGGCAGACCGTTCAGAGTACCTGAGCTTCCTTTCCATTCCATCTGTACCCTTCACCATGGAAAACTAAAGACCGGTGCTATCTTATGTCAACCTAAATAACAGACTCTAAAAGAAAATGATATTTATTTGGGAATGGGTGTAGACTATATGCTTATCAGGGAGGTAAAAGAAGACAAAGGTTTTTAAAGGAAACATGGGCCGGGCATGGTGGCTCTCACACCTGTAATCCCAGGACTTTGGGAGGCCGAGGTGCGCAGATCACCTGAGGTCAGAAGCTCGAGACCAGTCTGGCCAACATGGCAAAACCCCATTTCTAATAAAAATACACAAATTAGCTGGGTGTGGTGGCAAGCACTTGTAATCCCAGCTACTCCAGGGGCTGAGGCAGGACAGTCGCTTGAATCTGGGAGCAGGGTTGCAGTGAGCCGAGATCACACCACTGTACTTACTCCAACCTAGGTGACAGAGTGAGACTCCATCTCAAATAAATAATAATAATAAAAATAAATCGAAGGAAAGCAAAAATGAGTGTTATAATTGTTTTGGGGAAAAAATGTTTTGAGCTAGTCATCTTTGGCTGCAAGGATGAATAACAAGGGTAGTCCCAGTTCAAGATTGGACAGGAAGTTGTTGGGTAGATGTCCTTGTAGGAATTTTTTTTTTTTTTTGAGACAGAGTCTCACTGTCTTGCCCAGGCTGGAGTGCAGTGGTTCAGTCTCAGCTCACTGCGACCTCCACCCCCTGGGTTCAAGTGATTCTTCTGCCTCAGCCTCCCTAGTAGCTGGGATTACAGGCATGCACTACCATGCCTGGCTAATTTCCGTATTTTTTAGTAGAGATGGGATTTGGCTATGTTGGCCGTGCTGGTCTCGACGTCCTGACCTCAGGTGATTTGTCTGCCTCTGACTCCCAAAGTGCTGGGCTTACAGGTGTGAGCCACCGTGCCCGGCAGAAATGTTTTTGTGTAAGGCTGTGGTGGCCTTTGTGCAAGGCTGTAGTTTTTGCAGTCTTTTGTGATAGTTCTTTTTAAGTATTTGTGCACAAGAACTCTCTTCGTGGCCCTCCCTAGCTGTTTGTTGGGTTTTTAAACCAAGTGACTCTATTTTGATTCTGATAACTTTCACACAGATCACACCTTTTATTTCTGCCATTCTCTCTATTTGTAATATTTCCATTCTCTACTTACTGAAGTTACGCCATCCTATGTTGGGAAGGCTAATGGAGAAACGGGTTTTTTGTTTTGTTTTAGAGCCAGACCCAGGGTCCTCCGGATTACCCCAGCTTTGTGGAGTCTGTGGATGAATACCAGTTTGTGGAACGCCTTTTACCAGCTACGAGGATCCCAGTTCCCCCAAAGCATGAACATTACCCTACACCTAGTGGTTGGCAGCCTCCCAGAGGTGAGCTGGGTGGTTAGGGATGGTTTGAAGGCTTCACAGAGCAACCTCCTCTACAGAGGTTGGCCTCCCCCATGAGGTTCCAGATCTCCAGTGGGTTCAGAACTTGTTTTGATATCCCTTCTGGGTTAAATCTCTTTCATGCCCAAGGAAGAGCCCAGAAGTGGAGCCCCGTTTCACTGGTACTCATCCATCCACACTACTGGGACTGAATCTTCCCCATATGGGGGAAAGTCTTCTCTCAACAGAGAGAAAACCCAAGAGCTTGGACCTTCTTTCCCCCTAGCAGACTGTATACTGTAATTAAGAACACGGTTTGGAGTCAGGCAGTTCTGGGTTTGAATTTGGCTTTATTTACTGTTAGCTTGACCCAACCTGTTTTAGCAAAATGGAGATGATCTGCTCAGTTCGCAGAGCCCTTAGTGCAGAGCCCAGCACATGGTAGGTAAATCCTATGCTGTAGTGCTTGTAAATCCCAATCTCTTTGTTCCAGAGATTGAGTTCGCCCTCCCTGACCCAGTGGAGAAGGGCAAGGATTGGCCCAGAGGGGGACCCGAAGATCTGGGGAGGCATGGCCTGACTTCATTTTTCTTGAGCACCTACTTAGTGCCAGGCCTTGTGGTAACAGGGTGAACAATTTGGTCCTGACTCCAAGCTGAAGCAAAGAGGAGACCCCCCCTGAGCTGAAGTCTGGTGGTGGCTTGGTTCAGCTGGGTGTACTGTCTTGCAGACTGAGGGGAAGGGCCTTGGCTGGGGTGGGATGGTGCCTAGGAAGAGTTGATTTAACCATGCCTTTCCCGGCCGGGCACAGTGGCTCATGCTGGGTAATCCCCACACTTTGGGAGGCTGAGGTGGACAGATCACGAGGTTAGGAGATCGAGACCAGCCTGTGTAACACGGTGAAACCCTGCCTCTGCTAAAATACAAAAAATGTGCTGGGTGTGGTGGCGGATGTCTGTAATTCCAGCTACTCAGGAGGTTGGGGTGAGAGAATTACTTGAACCTGGGAGGCAGAGGTTGCAGTGAGCCGCGATTATGCTACTGCACTCCAGCCTGGTTGACAGAGCAAGACTCGTCTCCAAAAAAAAGTCTTTCCCTGTTGCAGACCCCCCACCCAACCTGCCCTACTTTGTACGACGCTCTCGGATGCACAACATCCCCGTCTACAAGGACATCACACATGGCAACCGGGAGATGACTGTGATCCGGAAGGTGGAAGGGGACATCTGGGTAAGTGGGTGGGTGGGGCTGGGGCTGGGCCTGACCCTTTCAGGGCTGAAAGGACAGGAGTCCTTTCAAAGGGAGGGACTCTTGGCCTACCTGATTTGCTATCTTCCCCCAGGCCCTGCAGAAAGATGTGGAAGATTTTCTGAGCCCACTGCTGGGGAAGACACCCATCACCCAGGTCAATGAGGTGACAGGTACCCTGCGGATCAAGGGCTACTTTGACCAAGAGGTTAAAGCCTGGCTTTTGGAGAAAGGGTTCTGAGGCCCAGCCGAACAGCCTTCATGACAGCAGCCCCTGCAGACTGAGAGCCTAGGGGGCCGAGGGAGGTGGATGTTGGAGCCCCTGGCACTGCAGATACAGAAACTAGGGCTAAAGGACTTTGGGGTGAGGGCTTGCTTGCATAAAGGAGAAAACTGGACCCTATGTACATGCTGGGGGAAGAGTGCCTAACACCGCAGACCAAATAGGATTAAATTAGGCTCGTGGGGGGCATCAGCAGCTGTCTATCCTACCTTGGCCTGTTTTTTTTTTGAGACAGTCTCACTCTGTCATCCAGGGTGGAGTGCAATGGTGTGATCTTGGCTTACTGCAACTTCCACCTCCTGGTTCAAGCAGTTCTCTTGCCTCAGCCTCCTGAGTAGCTGGGATTACAGACGCCCACCACCACACTGCTAGTTTTTCTTTTTTTTTTGAGATGGAGTCACTCTGTCCTCCAGGCTGGAGTGCAGTGGTGCAATCTTGGCTCACTGCGACCTCCGCCTCACAGGCTGGAGTGCAATGGTGCAATCTTGGCTCACTGCGACCTCTGCCTTGCAGGCTGAAGTGCAATGGTGCAATCTTGGCTCACTGCAACCTCCACCTCGCAGGTTCAAGTGATTCTCCTGCCTCAGCCTCTCAAGCATTGGGGATTTATACTACCACACCCTGCTAATTTTTTGTTTTTAGTAGAGACATGGGGTTTAACCACATTGACCAAGCTGGTCTCAAACTCCTGACCTCAGGCAATCTGCCTGCCTCAGCCTCCCAAAGTGCTGGGATTACAGGCAGGAGCCACCGCACCTGGCCTAGTTTTTGTACTTTTAATAGAGATGGGGGTTCACCATGTTGGCCAGGCTGGTCTCGATCTCTTCACTTCAAGTGAGCTGCCCACCTTGGCCACCCAAAGTTCGGGGATTATGGGCGTGAGCCACTGCGCCTGGCCCACCTTGGCCTGTTTTTTCCTTTCCTTGGGACTCCTTGGGCTCAGCAATTCAAATTCTAGTTGTTTTCTTGTGGAAGCAGTAGCCCAACCCAGTTTAGGGGAAGGTAGAACAGGGCAGAGCCACTGGGTACTTTCCTTTCTCCAGAGATCACTGTTGCAAACATCCCCAGGCCCTTGTTGCAGGCCAGATCTTGCTTGGTGCAGGCTGTGGGGAACACAGATGACTCGGGCATGAGTCTTGGAGATCTTCTGTTCCAAGTGCAGTGCTGACACTGGGGCACAGTGCCCACATTAGCCCTGGGCTCTTTCTGAGAGAGAGAGGTGGTCCATTCTTTCTTGGTCACTATTCCATTGCAGACTAGACTTGCTGGCCTGACCACAAGGAGTACCTGGGAACTCCTTGCAGCCAGCCTAGGGCCATCCTCCCCAGCCTGCTGACCTGGAATCAAGGCTGGAGAGGGGTTTGCAGGGAGGAAGATGCTGACCCTTCACTCTACCATTGCATCCCAACCCCAGCCAACTAGTCTTCGTACATGCCCTATACTTGGAGTCACAGGGGCCAAAGGCCTGAGACCTCACCCTACCCCTAAACTGGCTAAGACAGCTTTCAGTTCCTGGCTCCCCAACTTGGTCTCTGCCCTGAGGCAGAGCACTGAACTCTGGGCCACTTCTCCATGTGTAAAATGAGCACATCTTCCTAATCTGTTAATGGTCTATGGTGTCCCCAAGGATAGTTCTGGCTTCTATGGAAACCCTGGAGCCTGAAGATTCCAGGCCATTCTCAAGTGTACAGCCAGAGCAGGGAGCCCAGCACTGATTTCTTTCTGTGACACAGCCTCACCAATTGTTAATGCAAGTTTTTATTTGGCTGTATATACAATTTAAGCTATTAAAATTTGTACAATATTTACAAATTAAATAATCATCTGAAACTGTCTCCAGCAACTCTTGTAACACAAAACCAAGGGGAAAAGACAGGGGCAGGCAAGACCTAGCTCCTGTGGTCCCTCCTTGGCACTGAGCCTTTTCTGAACTGGAAAGACCAGGAGTCTGGCACTCCTGCTCCTCTTTCCTGGGCGGGTTTAAGCATTCAACTTCAAAAGACAAATTTTAAGCCAAAAGACACTAGTGAGGAAGTAATTCCAATTCTAAACTCAAGAAGTTCTGCTAGTTGAGAAGTGGCCTTCCTTAGGCGCTGGGGTTGCAGTGGTCAGGAGCAGGCACACTGGCCCTTGCCTGGAGTGTGGCTGGGCAGTGGCTGCTGGGTGAGACAGGTCAGTCTCACCTGAGAAGCTGCAGGGGAAAGAGGCCTGGGGGGAGGGGAGGGGCAGGGTCCCTCAGTGCTGCCCGCCTGCCCCCCCACTCCCAGGCATTCCTTTCCCTGAGTTGTGTGGTTGCCAGTAAGATGCAGAAATGCCACAGGGCATAGGGGGCACAGCCACCACCACAAAGGACTTCTGGGGAGATCAGGATATGAAAAGGAAATGGGTACCAGTCTTGGGGGCAGGCCAGGGAACAAGTTCCTAGCTTATCTCTAGCCCCTCTGGAGTCCCCACTTGGGAACAGGAGCTAATACTGTTCGGCACTGCAGTGTGACTCCACACACACAAGTAGGACTCAGAGGGGCTGCCCCTCCTCCCAGAAAGGGGTGGGGAAGAAGAGGACTTCTCAGAGGCTGAATCACCTGCCTTCATGGCCCCAGCAGAACACAGAGCTGAAGAGTTGGAGAGGAAGGCTGGAACTGACCCAAGATCCCCATGACTGGCTGGGACTACGAGGGCTGGAGTCCACTGGGAACTCCAGCCTCCTTCCACTGGCCTAGGGGATGCTGCCGCCTTTTTCTCAGAGCTGGGGTACTACTCCCTGGTGCAGACAGAGAGGGAGCTGGCACTTGGTGGCAGGACGTGTTCCAGCGATGGCTGCTCAAAAGAGCAGGGACTGGGGCAGTGTCAGTGGGCAACAGGAGACTCCAGCTTCTGCAGGCGGCGCCGGCGGAGCTCGGCTGCATCAGGCTCTCCATCCTCGGGCATCTCCTCTGTGCCCACTGACTCAGGAGCTGGGGACAATAGATTAGAAGTGGAACCTACAGAAGTTCCCTCCTCCCCGCCGCCCCCAGAGGCCAATCACACCTACCTGGAGGCCTTTCCGTTTCAAGGGCTGGTGGGGAGGCTCCTGGGGTTGGGGTCGTGGCCTCTGAGTCAGGGATGCTGGTGGAGGCGGCAGCAGCAGCAACTGTAGTGGCAGTCTCCTCAGTGCGGTTGACTGAAGTGGCAGGCCGGGGGGGCCTGGGAAAAGAAGGGATGAGAGGCGGGCCAAGCCTTGGCATCCTAGGTTGGGCAGATTCTCCTGCCCTTGGTGAGCCTTGCAGAACAGAGTATAGAATGATGTGCCCCTGTGGCCCCAGTGCCTGGTAAACACAAGTGAACATGCTGAATGAACTCAGATAGGGTGACTTGACTCAAGGACCAAATGATTCTATCCCTGAGACTAAGATGCTTGCAGGTAAGGACTGGTGAGCTCTTCACTCTTACCCTGCAGTCTCCACCCTGGGGAGTCAGGCACTTTATAGGGGACCCACCAAATACGTCACAGTGCCCAAGCCTTGGACTCAAGTTCCCCTCCAAGCCTGTGCTGTCACTGCTGGATGCCAGGCATTATGTACATGTCACTTTAAGAGACAGGGTCTTAGCTCTGTTACCAAAGCTGGAATTTAGTGGCACAATCATAGCTCAGCCTGCAGCATGAAACTCCTGAGCGCAAGCAATCCTGGCTCAGCCTCCTGAAGTGCTGAGATTATAGGAGTAAACTACCACATCAGCAGTACACGTCACTTATGAACAGGAATTAAGACCTCTATTCAAATAATATGAGAGGTCAAAAGCAAGTGAGTGATGGGACCAGCGCTTGAACTTGGGATGGCTCCGAGTGACTTCCTATTATTTGCTCCCTCAGTTGGAGGGCAGCAGTTGCCAATCCAAGTGTTACCATATCTCAGGAGAATATTGTGATCAATTAAAGCACTGCAAATTCTGAATAATTTGACTTTAGAAAAATAAAAAGTAGTAAACTCCAAGGTCAGCTCTCAAAGAAACATCACTCCCACTTAGATCCAGACATGCTTTTTGGAGTGGGAAGACAGACAGGCACCAGGAGTTACCAAGAACTTCAGGAGACCCTGGGAGGGCCTGTAGATGGGCAGCCTGAACCAGCAGGTGTCAAAGGCCAAGAACCACTGCTGGGGACCTCTTAGCAGCTCCATTCCCACTAAACCCACTCTGCTTCCCCTGTGCAGACACACCCCAAGGAGGCCAGCACAGTGAGGTACTGGTTGATCTGCAGCATGGCGGCGTCCAGCAGTGTGTGGATGTTACGCAGGCTCTGCAGCCGGGCCTCTAGGTGCTGCCGCTCATGGCCCTCCAGAGCTCGCAGCTCCTCTGGGGTCAGCCCAGCAAAGCCCGCAGGGGGCACAGGCATTGGGGGGAAGGCTGGAGAGAGAGAGAGAGAGAGAGAGAGAGAGAGAGAGAGAGGCTCAGTCTGGGCTGCTTCTGGGGCCAGATACCAACCTCACCCCCAAGAAGAACCCAGAGAGTGGCCCAACTTACCGAAGGGTGGAGGCAGGGGCATGCCCATCCAGGGAGGAGGGAAGGGGAAGCCAGGGGCAGGGCCAGCCTCTGGGGCAGAGCTAGAGCCCGAGCTGGATGGTGTAGCAGAAGCGGCAGCAGCACTGGTGCCAGCAGCCGTGGTTGTGGCTGCTCCACTGGGCCGAGAAAGGGCTGCTGAAGAGCAGGAACAAGTTGTCAGTGAGTGTTCCATCCCTGCCAACCCCTGGCTGTCACAGTACCCAAAGGCTCACCTGCACTGGTGGATGGAGGGGCCACAGCCTCTCCTGAGCTGGGAGGAGGTGGGACAGGTGGAAAGGGGCCCATGGGGGGCCACAGTGGGAACATGCCTGGAGGAAAAGGAGGCAGGAGGCCCTGGGGGACTGCAAAGAAAAGACAGAGGTGAGAAGAGGACCAAATGGACAGGCAGGGGGCCTGGCTACTGGGAGCTCTGTCCAAGGTCCTGAGCTCAGCACTGGTCACACTGACTATAAGCATCTATTTCTCATCTTTTCACCCCTCCCTGGTCCAGACTGAGACACTGGAGGACAGGGACTCTCTAATTTCCCAGCATCTTCCATACCCATCCCAGGGCAAGTACCCAGTGGTGTGCTGGATGGCCAGACAAGAGGACACTCACAGTTGGGGGGCTGAGGCAAGAGTGGTGGGGGATGGGGGGCGGGGGGTGGCCCCTGGTCCGCAGGCTCCGGGGGTGGTGGTGACTGGGCTGGCAGCGATGCCCGAAGGACATCCATACGGCAGGTGGGGCAAGTCTGCTGCCGCTGGAACCAGGAGCGCAGGCAGCTGGGGGTCAAGGCCAGGCAGAGGTCAGCAGGTCCCTAGGGGCCTGCCTTCTGGGGCCTGTGCCCTGATGTGCAGTCTCCCCAGGGCTCCTCCCACCTGGTGTGGAAAATGTGGTTGCAGGGCAGTCTCTTGGCACCAGTCACCATCTCTTCTCGGCAGATGATGCAGACATTGTCCATTGCCTGGAGTTCCTCTGGGGTGGCATCTGGATACCTGGGTTAGGATGGCAGGGAATGTGTCAGGCCCAGCGCTGGAAGCAGGAGAGGACAGAGCTTGGGGCAGCAGCCATGACAAGCCTACTTACAGAGTGTTCATGTTGCGGATGGCCCGGCGAGACATAATGGCATCTGTCACAGCTTTCTTGAACTGTCTGAAAGGACAGTCAGTGAAAGCAGGGAAAGGGAAGGGATTGCATCAGGAGGATCGGGGGACAGGCCTAGGCTTACCTCATGGCCAGGTACATGGGCCGGATGGCAAAGAGTGGGAAGGTGTGCACCTTGATCATGATGGTCATGAAGGCCATGTACAGCAGAACCTTGATGAAGCCTGTGGGGAAGGGATGCAGAGGGCAGCAGGTCACAGGGCCCGGAGGCAGAGTACAGGGTGCTGATCCACGGCAGGAGAGGCCCAGGCTACTCTCACCTGTAAACAGCTCCGTGTAGAGCATATACACAGCCTTGTTGTCCCAGGGGTTCTCACTCTGGAGGTCCACGGAGTGCAGCACATACTTGATGAAGATGGTGAGCACCATCGTCATCAGGATGGCATACTGGAGGGAGAGGGGGGGCGAGGGGGATGTAAACACACAGCTCCCCGGGCCTCTGTGCAGCAGGTGCAGTGGTACAATCACAGGCTCTGGACACACCCGGGGTCGTCCTAGCTCCTCCACTTGCTAGCTGTGACTTTTGGCAACTCGATGAACCTCAGTTTACTCATCTATAAAATGACAAAATTAACTATTCCTTTATAACAATATTGTCTTGCTGAGTAAGAGATGCAGGTCAGCTCAGCACAGGGCCTGGTGTGAAATTCACACTCAACAAATATGAGCTGTTGTCACTGAACACATTCTCCCTCTGCCAGGGACATGCCTCCAATTGTCCATCAAGCTAATCCTCTCCTGTCCATTAACAGCTAGCTCTGGCACGAGCCTCCAGGAACCCTCCCCTGAACCCCAGTTTGGGGTTCCTCCTCGGCTCTAGCCTTTGTGCTCTTCCCCAGTCACCTAGAAGTGAGTGTGTGGAGGGCAGGAGCCATATCTGATCGCTGCCCCTTGGTGGCCGACACAGGTTAGCCACATAGCAGATGCTGAGGAAGGGTCTGTTGGGTTATTCAAGGCACATATGGGGTCACCTTGAGCTTGTCCTCTCAACCTTCCAACCCAGTCTTACCTCAAAGCCAAACACCAGCTGCACGGAAGCCCCACGGGTCAGGATGCTGTGATAGGCATGGCTGACGAAGAGGAAGTCCAGGATACCCAGGAGGAACATAAGAGCTGTGGGGACCCCCATAAATGGGGGGTAGGTGGG